ACTTTTAATTAGTTGGAGGGAGGGTTTGATTTATTTTATTCCGTGGGCATTTCTAACACATTTACGACATGTGGGCTCTAATTATCGCTAATCCCCCACTTTAAAATAAACCAAAAAAATAAAAGGCTATATATAATATAACGAACCAAAAACCTAAATAATATATTTTTTTTCTTAGTTTAGTCCTAATGCATCTTACGTGTTTAAAAGTTTTAGTTAATTTCATTATTTTTTTAATCATATCTTTTATCTTAGACAACTCAACAATTTTAGTAGAATCTACTTATCTATTAAATGCATTGGAAATAGACCAATAAAAATATACCGCATCAGAAAGTTAGTAGGAATAGGAACTCTTGCTTACCGATAGAGGGTGGTCTCTACATGATGTTGCTTTTGAAAATCTACTAAAAAATTTCTTGTACTAATGAAAAATAATTAATGTTGTTCTTAGTTATAAATAGATAATGTAAAGTATAAGATCGACTAGAAATAGTAAAGATACAAGATTAAGTACAATATAGATCTTCATTAGTTGTCTTAAAGTGTACAATATAGGAAGTTTCGATAGAATGTGGTCCAATAATATATTGACGACGTGAGATACTATCTCCGTACTTTAGTTCTTCTGGAAAAAATTATATACAGGTGTCAATTTGTTATTGGACCAAGTCCTGTACTGTAGGAATATTCCATATTTAGTTGTGTAGTATGGTTTCATCCCTATATTACTTATAAATTGAAGCTTTTTCTTCACAATGATTTATCCATGAAGAAACATTGTTAAAGCTTTTTCTTTCTACAAAGCGAGGCGAAAATTATGTTGGGGTTTGGGCCTGAGTGTAGCCCAGTTCAATGTTTGACCCATCAAGGATCTGTTCTCTCTTTGTGCTACTAACATAACATCTCAGTTACACAATGTGCAGACATTAGCACCTAAAACAGCTTTATAAAACGATTACAAGTTGAAACAATAATGTATGTGCACACACAGCATTGTTAATCCAGTTCATGGTTGATTTCTGCTTTGCAAAAGCACTGGCAAGAGAATCAGATAAAATGTATGATTTTGACTGTCACCTTCTTAATATGGTGGTTTTGTTAAATGGGAGATGAAGAAAACCAAAAACAGAGCAGTTTGAAAGGATTTCCATCAGAAGTGCTTGAACAAATTGTCATAGCTTAGAGAATATATTAACTTCTACATTTTTTGCATTGAATTTATGAGTAAAACAAGCAGCAAGCAAGGACTTCACATGAAGCAAATTCAGGTTTATTTTCTACTTCAATGATGTTCTTTGCAAACCAACTGTTCCAAGGGCACGTTTCCACTCCAGCTTAAGAATTGAAAATGGCAGAGCATTAACAGAGAACATAGGATACCAAAAGACAAATTCAAGCACCTCAATATCTCATCATAGCAACAGAATAAATAAACTTCCAACATCAATCACATAACAGTGAAATTCAAACATCATAACCAGTTCCACTAGAAAAAAAANAAAAAAAAAAAAAAAACTTAGAAACAAACATTTAACAACGAATGGCAAAGATCGCTGGAGATTATTGAATATCACATTGTGGTATTATAACACATCACTGAAAACCGAAAGAGACTAATGAATAAAATTAATATGTTAGAACCTCACACTTGCTTCCTTCTTCTGTTTATGATTGTGATTGTGGCTTCTTCTTACTTTGCTTCATCAGGGGGAGTGCTATCTGAATGAAGCCAAACCTCTTTCTTTCTGTTGAGGGATTCTTTTGGTAATTTCTATCATTCTCTGTTTTTGAAGGAAATGTTAGATCCTCCCTTGGTGCATGGAGATGGAGCATTTGACTCAAAGCAACTTTCTGTTTTTCAGTCTGCTGCCCATCCATTCTTGCTATGTTGTCTCCAGATAAACCTTGCTTCCTGCTCAGCACATCTCGCATCGAAATCGTAGATCTTAGAACAGGTTTTGAATCTCTATTTACAAGATCTGGCCTACTCATGCTGTGCAGTGGAGAAGCTTGATGAACGGAGGGACGGAAATTCGCGAGGGCGGAAGGGTGGAGGAAATTGTTGAGGGCACTGGGGTAGTAGAAAGCATGCCCCTTATGTTCTGGTACCCATCTTCTTAGAGTCTCTTCAGCAACTAGTTGCTTTCTATTTGCAAGTTCAACTCTGTTTAGAGCCTCCTCCAATGCTTTTTTACCAAGATTAAGTTCTTCTTTTGCTTCCTTCAACTTCTTTTCAATGTTTAATTTAGAAGGATTTGTCTCGTCCAATTGAACCATAACATCTTCATTTTTCTTTGGGTATTCCCCAGATTTCTTAGTGTTGGAGTTCAGAAAAGACTGATCCTTGAAGTTAAATACCATTGTCTCTGGCTCTTGTAAGGAAAATCCAGCTGAATTATCAATGCCACTTAGAGCTTCAACTTCAGCTAGAGCCACTGCCTCTGCCGCTTTTGCAGCCTCTTCCATCTTTCTCGCTGCGAGCAACCTTAACTCGGCAGTCCTCAAACTAGCCTTCGTGTGCTCGTTCCCGGCCACACCCACCGAATAATCGGATTTCGCTCCATCTGGATTCTTTATTTGTCCACCCCTTAGATTCACCTGAGGAAGCTCCATCGCTCTATTGAATGAATTCTCAGATACATCTTTAAATTCAACATCATCAGTCACTTGGGACTTGACTGGAATTGGTTTTCGCTCCTCATCCAATGTCGATGGCCCCAAAAACTTCAGCGCTACCCCATCTCGTCTCTTTGCCAGCAAGCTCTTCTCCTTCTTCATTTTCCTATTGAGAGATTCAACAGAAGTTTGAATGACACCCAGATCATTAATAGTCTTTCCAAGGTTCATTTTTGCTTGCTTCAACTCCATTAAGATCATATCAGGCGATGGGCTTGAATCTCCCAACATATGCTGCTCGTGGTTGCAAATGAGATCACCAAAACATTCCTCCATTTCTTTAACAGAAGAAGTTGGAGTCTGTTCCCCTGAATGGAAGTTTGGGGCCGGAAAGCATTTCAATGCTTCAGTCCGCAGCTGCCGTTTTAACTCTTCCACCATTCGTTTTGTTGCACCCAATTCTTCCAATACATCAAGTGTTTCCAGTTCTTTAACAATCAGATCCTTCTCCAACTCTGCTGTCTGTTCCTCCATTCTCTTAATATCAAACTCCTCAATCCCCTGCTGCTTTATCATAATCGTTCATAATGAATTAAAAAACCATCATAATAATCAACAAAAGCAAGCTACAACACGAAATACAAAATGTTGTCTAATAAAGATAATCATAAACAAGAAAAAATCAGGAATGAGAACTTTGTTCAGATCATTATTTAAATAATGCGTTTCTTGTAAAAAATATACATTCAATTCTTCAACTATAAGCCAGATTTCGTTTTCGTCAAAGCCATTTCAAGCATCACTTATATTCTTGAATTGACAGTGAACTCACATATTCAACAAATGAATTATTATAATAAAATTTACCCATTTTGCATCGATCCAAAACCCCCATGTTTCAACTACTGTTCAAGTTTACAGACAAAAACTAAGCTTCAAACAAACGACAAAAAGGTCCATTACAAAAACGAAAAAAAATTTAAAAAATGCTTCCAGTACTAAACTTCAAGAAATTTCTCACATTCTTACTGCAAAATGGAAAAGTTCATCAGGAGCAAAGACATTTGTCTGTTACCTTGCAGAAGGGTATCCACGGACCGCTGCCGCCGAACCGGGTCACGGCCTCTTTAACCGAGCCGAACGGCGGGTTCGTATCAATAACAGCTCTGAAATTAAACCTCCGAATCCCAGGAGCCGGAGTCGAATCGCCACTTCCGGCGGGCCCGAGCCCAAACGGGTCAGAATCGGAGCCCTTGTCGTATCTGATTTCGGTTATACATGGGGTCCCGGGTACTGCCTCCGCAGCCGGGTCGGGTGGTTCCGCCATAGCCGAAGAGCTCACAATTGTGGCTATGGAAAATCGTTTAGTGCGAAATGGAATTTAAAGAGACTGTGGGTTGGACTTTCGGGGGCGAGTCCATGATGCGAAACCGATCCTCGAAACCATAATGCTTCATCGAGGGACGATGGGGGAAGTGATGATGGTGTTTCGGGGGGGACCGATTCGCGACTCGCCCCAAAAAAGCTCCACTGAGTTTCCATTCCGAGTTGAACCAGTCGGGTCCACAATAATTCCCCTCTGGCAACTCCGGCTTTTCTTTTCCCTTTGGGAGATGTTCCTCTGCTTCTGAATTGGCTAGTAAATTACATGTGGATGAATCTGATTGGTGGAAAAAGCTTTAGTCAAATTATTGACTGTTTGACCGTTGAATTTTGGAGTTTGACGAGATCTGATGGTGGGTGTAGGGAGTAGCGGGTGCGACCTAGGAGTTAACCGGTATTTGATTTTGGGCGTGGATTGCGGTTAAAAGCGCCAATCAGTACTTGGCGGTTACAATGGACCATCACCCTAAGATTGAATCTCGCCGACATGTCGTCTATAATTATTAAGGGAAACATGTCGTTCTTTATTTTGAAATGAAAAAGACAATTTGTCATATCTATCTCTTAATTTATCACATATTTTCCCATTATTGTCAAAATTAATTAACTAAAAGTCTAAAATACTTAATTACTGGCCAAATTGCTAATTTTTTTTTTAATTTCAATATGTAATTCTTGTGAAAATCTCAAATAGTATTTTAAGGAAAAGAATTAGGATATAAGATAAATAATTGATATGAAACTTTTTTTTTTCTCTAAAATGTCATGTCGTGGCATTATGGTTTTTGGTGGAGTATCTTCTTGTTTTAGATAATTTCAATTTCAATATGCATTTTTTTTTACTTTACAATTGATTGTTTTTCTCTTTTGATACTTTTGTATTTTTCAAAATTTGGAAAAGCATAAAGTAAAAGATTTCTTGCAACAAAGAAGTTTCCGAGAGAGAGAGACTTCTCCTACGTACAAAACTTTATTTGTCTCACAATAATTGATTCATTTGGCAATATTTGTGTACTTTTAAAATGAGAGTCGAGAATTCCTTTTTAAAAAAATTGCATAAAAATATCTAGTAAGAATTAATTATTTTGATAAAAATTCTATTGTATAGAACTTTAAACTTATGTGATGTGTAAAATAAACCTTGAAATCTTGAATCTTGTTAACTTTTTTTCAAAAAAAAAAAAAGGAAAATAAATTGTTAAGATTGATAGGTTGTAATCCAAAGGCTGGGAAGAAGGGGGAACAAAAGTGATATTTTGTGACAGATTTGTTTTTCCAACTTATTATTGAAGTGATTATTCAACATGCAAGTAAAATAATTTAAAACAAATGGGCAAAGTGAAATAACTTTGAAGAAATTATAATGGTTATGATTCCATAAAACCAAATTATATAGGCCCACAATTTTGTTTTTTATTTTTTATTTTTAAATTTTGAATTTTTAGACACTATTTCAAATTTGAACCAAATCTGAACCAAATTTTAAAAACGAAAAACGAAATAGTTTTTAACAATTTGTTATTAAAAAAAAGGCTAATAAGAATGATGATCGCGATATTAAAAAAATTGAGAGCAACTATACCTACTTTTCAAAAATAGGGAATTGTAAATATAAAATCTTTATTAAAAATGTAATAAAAACATATTTAATATAATTCTTTTTTTTATCCGTGAATATTTGGGTCCGTTTATGCATACCTCTAATAATCTCATAGGTCTAAATCTTAGGCAGGTAGTCGCTATCATGAGTTTGAACTTATTCCCTTTATTTTTTTTTTAATTTATTTCTTCTTTGGGCTTCTTTAGAACAATGGGACGACCCATAATAGTTATGAATATCTAGATTCTGAAACTAAAGTTGATATTAAAATATGAAAATTTAACATGTTGAATTGAATAAATTAAGTTAAACCAAAGAAGAAATGAACATGAATCTTTTTCAAGATCATATTAAATTATTACTAAATTCAAAAAATTAAGCCTATAAATTATATTAAATCTAATTATATTTGAAATCCGTGATTAACTGGCAATGTGTGGGTAAAAGATGGGGTGAGAGTTTGAAAGGAGAAAAAAATAAAATGTTTTCTTATTTTAAAATTTTCCCTTTTTGATCGTTTTAATGATTATAAAAAAAGAAAAAGGAAAAGGAAAGAAAAGGCAATAAGAGGAGGACATGATTGCGGCGAGTGCATCCCTTTAACTTTTTCACAACCAACCAATTTTCTTTTAATTCTTCAAAACTCCAATCCCTATGTTACGACGTCGTCTTCGACAATCACGGTTATTTCTGTTACTGCATTGTTTTAACTGCAATGCAAACTTCAAAATTGATTTCTCTTTTTGTTACCGTAAATTGGTAAAAATCACAAATGAACTTGATGAGACATGTTTCACTGATTAAGGGTGGTTCTTATAAAAGTTTTATTTTCCAAAGAAGATTGATAATGACACGTTTTACTAATCGCTATCAATCATTTATGATCATAAAATAAAAATAAATGGTTTCAAAAGTTCCACTGGCTAGCAATCAAACACTGTATGGTGTTTGCCGAAGCAATTTTTACGTGGCTCGAGTCAAGTGTGGATAGTTTGAATGTATTTTATTTGATTACCCTATAATGTATACTTTAAAATTTTATTTAAATTTGTCAAAGCGAGCATAGTTAAAATATATCTCTAGTCAAGAAGTTGTGAGTTCGATCCCCAACCCCATCTGTTGTTCCAAGAAGAAATGATTGTGATTTATCCTTTTTATGGCCACCAAACTTAACAAATTTTTCAGAGTCACACATTCACAAATACTACATTAATCTTACATGAATCTCCTTTACAATTCTCAGACTATTTTGAAAGCTATAAATAAATCTTTGGGCTCACATTTCCTAGCCCAATTATATTTGATTTAGGTCATTTATGTGTCAATTTTTATAATGAATCCCACCACCGATATCCTAAGCTAACCTCATATTGCTTAGACACCTCAAATCATTTATCATCATATAAATAAATCGTACCCCTCAAAAGTTATCAAGAATTAATTTAAAGAACTGATCTTATTAAATAAAGAATTCGACCATTATCAAAAGTCGTTACACTTACTCTAGTAAATAAAAAACAAATCGATCATTTGAACACCTCATCTCATACGATGGCCATACCAGAGACAAACTAATATATCATCGATTATATATATATATATATATTTTTTTTAAAGAGGGATCCATTTCCATATACTTGGTGGTGTTAAATTTTCTTGAACCTTGGTTCACCAACTTTATATAGTGTTCATAAATTTTTCATAAAACTCCAAACATTGTGTGTAGGCAGAATGAGGCTTAATTGAAGCATTCTCCTCCGGCTTTGATCTAATAATTATTGCACATTAATGCACCTATCTACCTAAATGTGGACCACCATACTCCATCTCTCCATCCCTCCTTTTTTTTAAGCCCTATGAATCTTTCACCCCAATTAATACCTACCATTTTTTACCATTTTATTGTGCATTTTGAGTCAACTTATCAATGCCCAACAGATGTGAATAAATACATTTAGCTCAGGAGTTTATCTGTATATAACTTGAAATTAATGTCTGACTACCTTTTTTCTTTTCAATACAACGTAACCTTAATTAGAGGTAAGTCTAAGTTGACAAGTCTAACTAACTCGCGATTCCATTTCAAAATCAATTGACGATGAGATGAGTAGCTATGGATCTTGGTCAAATTTCATATTTCGACCGAATGCTCGTTTTAGCATTTTGGGCTCTAATACCATATTATTCATGGGGTTCATCTCACCAATTGGCAATGAGAAGAATAATTCAAGTTATTATAAAATCTTATTAGATCTCTTATCTTTTCCACGAGGATCCTTTAACACTTTTAAAAAAAAAATTATTTTTTACACATATAGACGTAAGTATGAACTAGCTTCAATTTAGATTTCTTAATTAATTTCATATTATATAAATTTAGGTTTTTCAATTCAAATTCTCTGAATGTCTTCAAGAGATAGCTTGGGTGGTTTGGGACCTTAAGAAATGTCCATTTTCTACAAACCTTTTAATTTATTGATAATGTAGTTATATTTTTCCCTTTTTATTTGAGTGAAAAATATATTTAAGATTGTTAGGGATTTAAAAAAAATCATATGAACCACATGTGAACTAAAATTATTTGATTTATGAATATAATTAAATATTTGTTCACTTGTCTTATTCAGCAAAAACTCAAACACAACCATGTAAAATGACATGTCAATGATACAGAAGGACACTTGTCTTATCCTCATACCGTTCTTATAGCTTACTTCTAAGATATTTAATATATGTTAGTTAGCTGATTAATCCCTACATCATAAAAAAGAACATTTATGACTTTGATGTGAGAGAGAATAATATATTAGGCAATATTCTTATTTAGTTAAGTAATTAGCTTTAGCTATATATATATACATACATTTTCTTGTAGAGTTATACATCAATAAGACTCTTTGTTTAAATTATATTCAAAAGCTTTTAAGGCATTCTTAAAATACAAGTATTTTAAAGAGTTCTTTCAAAAATATATATACACACACGTTCGTTCTTTGCCGTTTTTATTAATATCACCTTAATTATCAAATTTGTTGCACATCATGCTTTCACCGGAAAGGAGTCCCGTCTCAAAAGTCGAAAAAAATAAAGAAGTGATGTCCAAGCACGTGGTTGTAATAAGCTCGTCCACTCGAAAGAACACAACTCAATCTAATCTTATGAGTTCAAACCTTACTATAGATCATTACCCAACCAACAATAGACTATGGATACCTCCACTTTCCTAGCAAAGAAAATGAATAAAAAAAATATTATTAAATATTTCAGAGAAAAACAATTTTCAAAATTTTGCTAGAGTGCTAAGGATTGCTTTTCTAACTAAATTGGATTCAATTATATATACCTTTATTATCAAGTACTATATTAGTGAGATAGTTCACATTTGGTATATTTTATATTAGATATATCAGCTATGTTATATATATCGATGATATATTTTATATTCGATATATATATATAGTTATGTTTTCTTGAGGCCTAATATGAGTGTTTATATACCAATAAAATATCTAATATAATATCAATAACATTGATATGATCTTTCAATGATATATTAATATGAGTGCTCATATATCAATGATATACATGAGTTATTACATTAGACGATGCCTCTATATAACTATTTACTATAAAGCTTGATATTTTCGTTACGAAACGTTTCATCAACATCTCTCTACCAACCATGTTTCTTTCGGAGAAGAATCACATTAAAGTAGCAAAGCTTTCATGGAGGGATCATATGGACCACGATCATCTCTTTCATTTATTACACCATCTTCCACTCCTTAACCCCCCAAAAATTAACAAATTAAAAAACAACCCCTCTCCCTTCCTTAAATGTCTTTCCATCATGCCCTCCTTAATTTCTTCCTTTGCCCATCTTCCCCTCCCCATATTAAATTCCACCCACAAATTACTCTTATTAACTAATTCTACCTCTTTTAATTAATTAACCAACCAAAATAAAATAATCAACTGTCAATTTTTCAATGAGAATAGAGATTAAGTATTTTTCTGATTCAAATATTTTAATGATTAATGTTAATTGACCCACTTATACTCTGCCCTTTCCCTAAAGACAAATTCCTGATATGAATATTTATGTCTGTCAATTTCAATGCCACACACCCTTTAATTTATTGTACACTGTTCAACAACTACATAGACTAAGCATTTAGAAGTCTCAACTCAAACACCCCTTTCTACTTCATTAATCATCAAATTCGTCTCTCTCTTTTGTTTTATTATTATTATATCACAACTTTCAGCTGCTTTGGATCTTGAAAAAACTCTCAGATCTGTTGAGGAAAACAAAGGCCGAGAGATCTCTCATTCAGAATCCAATTCTTGCCCTTCAAGATGCAATCTGCAAACTACGACCAAATCTCTCAAAAACCTCTCCAAATCAAACACCAAAATGACAGATTCTTCACAAGGCCGGCGCCGGTTCTGTCCAAAGAAGCAAACTCCGCCGCCAACTCGTCTTTTCGAGTCTACTATGGCGGCGCCTCCGGTGCAATTCCGTTCAGATGGGAGTCCAGACCGGGCACTCCAAAGCACAGCTATTCAGAAACTTCAATTCCTCCCCTTACTCCTCCTCCTTCTTACTATACCTCTTCACATTCTAATTCCAAGGCCTCCTCCAAACCAACCCTTTTGAGCTCAATTTTCCCCCGCCTCGCGCCGAGGAGATCCCGAAACTCCCCGTCCTCGTTCTCCTCCGCCTCTCTGTCGTCCTCGTTTTCGTCGTGGTCGTCCTCTCGCTCGTCGTCCTCCTCCTCGCCCAAACTGAACTTCTTCAAGCGTCGCCGCTCAATCTCAGATACTCCGAGCTTGCCATTTGAGTATAGCTTCGACGACGGCGACGGGGACGAGCCCGGGAGCTCGAATTCTCCGACATCAACCTTGTGCTTTGGTGGTGCTTCTTCAAGTAGAGCTTCATTCCGAGGTTGTTACCAGTTAGTGAGTGTGAAGAATGCTTTTTTGTCCATGGTTGGCCATGGATCCGCTGGCCGAGGTACTGTTAATTAATTAATTAGTAAACATAATTTGCTGTGTGAATCTAATTAATTAGTCAAATTCCCATATCCCTTCTTCTTCTTCTTCTTCTTCTTTTCTTTTTATGGGTTCAAAATCTTCTGTCATTGTGTCTGTGTGTGGAGTGAAATGTTATATTATTGTATGGAACATTCAGTTTGTTGAATGGCATATCTCATGTCAAACTATAACAAAATCCAAGCTTTTTTAGCCTTCTTCTGTTAATTCTTTTTTCTCTTGGATTCACATTCTCATATTCACTGTTGTATATGTAATATAATGTTTCTATATTCCAATGCTTGAACCCCATTAATTATAAGCTCAAACCTCGAGGAAAAAAAAAAGAAGAAGAAAAAAATTTACTAAAACCATGTAAAGAACATAAATGAGAGGTACTGAAATCTGACAAACCCTAAAACCCATTACAGCCTGAGAACCAATTAGAATGCAAAAATGGGAAAGAAGTAAAAAGTTATCCACTATTATAGGGTAGTGCTACTACTATTTGTTGTCTGTTATATCAATACAGGTCCAACAATATTAAAAAAGTATTTATGAAAAAAAATATTCATATATAGTAGTGTGACCTAAAATAAAGAGATTGGAGTACTAAAAATTTTAGAGGTAATAAGGTATTCTTTCAACCTTTTCACCAAACCTAATAATCAGCTATTTAATTATTAAAATATCTTATAACCAACTGCTAATTTCGTACCAATAAAAATATGAGAGATTGCATCCGGTAGAAAAATCTTTTTATGTATTTCAAAATATTTAGATTTTCAAATATAGCACAAATTTTCATTTATATTAATAATATATCAAGACACTTATATTAATAGCATATCAGATATATATATATCAGTAGTCAGATGTATATCATTTTGGTAAAGTTTTCGTTTTAAAATTGGACTCCCGTTTTTAAAAAAAAATGTTATATCTGAAAAAACTAAACATGGTTGCTATTTTATTAATTTTGCTAAATATTTTTATCATATCCCAACTATCCCTACAAATATATTGTCCTTTACTAATATACTCATAATACACGGAGTATTATTCACATTCCCAGACAATTTCAATTCTCAAATGAACAAACTTACAAACCAAACCATAGGTTGAGCCAAGAAACCGAACCCACATCGGCCCGAATGCCTCGGACGGGACTCGGAATCAATTAGTTAACGAGGCTAAAAAGTGCAACGCAGGGCAAGAAAAATTGCAGCCGAGGTTGCCGTGTGGTTGCAGGCAGATGAGGAAGTTAATGTCGGATTAATTAAACACAGTCGACTTTGAAATAACTGTGAAATTAATTTGGTTGGTTGCTCCCATTCTCTGTTCTTAATGTCATTAATCAATCATCATCAATGGCAGATTACAGTCTACAGAAGAAGAAATTCATCTTCTCTTGCATTTATGGCAATGGAAACTCATCACTGTACAGTAAAAACTTATGGTTGTTTAATTTGAACTGTCAAATCAAAATTAACTAACTTAAATTATTTAATAATTTTTCGATTTCATTTTTGTTTTTAACCATAAAGTGGATAAGTCTTTAGCACATGTAATGATTGTTATATACATTGATTTCATTTAAGTTTATGCTTTCAACCAACGCCTACCCACCTGATCTTCATTTTTTTCTTTCTTTGTGAAATTAATATATTAGTTTATATGGTTTCTACTCCATTCTAATTTCTTCGTAGTGATTCTAAATTTTTCAATTTAGTTTCTGTAGTTTAGATAAATCTATTTAAAATTGAATTTGTCGTATCTTTGATGACTTGTTTYTCATAAGACACGTTTTCATTAGATCTGAGCATTGTACTAAGTTATAAGTTAAAATATATGTTTATGAAAGTTAAAAGTAATAAACTACACTAGGCTAAATGTATTAGGATTTTGACTATTTAATCCCGACCATCCTTTTGTTTTTTGCTCAACAAATTCAAATGTAGGCGACTCAGATACAATCAAATAATTTTTACTCTTCTTGCATTATACTAAATAATAGCTTATCGTTTTGARTATCATTGACTAATGAACCCAAACGCTTAAAAATTTACGCGTTAGAGTAAATTTAATCATTTATAAGATATTTAATAATACTCGACCCACTTGTAGACTTGTAAATTTGCACAAGACCTAACAAGTAGAAATCAATGAGAAGGAAATGACAATATAGGAGTTCACAAACATAGGACATCTACTTTAATAYAATCTTAAACATGATTAAACTATCAATGAACTCAAAAGCTTTAAGCCGACGGGTTAGGGTATCTAACATATCGTCTCTTGTTACCATATCTAATAAAAATGCTACTTGTTAAATTGTTTTCTTTTTTTGAAACACCTGTTAAATTGTTAATATCAAGTTATATACCAAATTGAAATCAAACTTAAACATAAATCATAGGGTCTTAGAATGACGATTTAATCATTTTGTTATGTTTCAACAACTCATTCAACAATATATCAAAAGTGTCAACTTAAGCATAGCTCAACTGATTAAAATATATATCCCCAACACTAAAAGATAGTAGATTCAAATCCACATCCTGTAATATGTTGTTGTACTAAAAAAAATGTTACCGACCTTTTTACTGAGTTCCTGAAGTTGCGCAATTCAACTTATTAAAGTATGTGAACAAATTGGAGCAATTAAACAAATGAAACTTGAAGAAAAGAGTAGCTGAAAAAGGTGTGTCAATTAATAAGTATGTCTTCCATGTGGACATAAAATTGCCCCGGAATCTGGTTTCAAACACAACATTCAAGATTTAAGTATCCTGCAAATGAGGCACACGTCTGCAAAGAGATGACTTCCATCTCAAGATTTCACCAAATCTTTTGTTTTATAATAAGACCCTATTTTTTTTATTTTGGAATCCAAATCGCCATATGCCCAACTTACTAATTAATTAATCTAATACCGTAATTTACTCTTTAACAAGCAAGAATATTATACTCCTACTACTTAAATTCAACAAAAATTAGGAGAAATGTGTGGTTCAAATTTAGCTTAGATATCGTCTGTTAGAGGATTCATTTCTTGAGACATATCTATTCAAAAAAGTCTCTTAAAAAAATGATTCTTTCTAAAATACAATTTTAAAAAATGGTGGGTTTAGAAAAATATCATGTTTCTGTCAATGTTTTTAAAGTATATTAAAAATTACCAAATATGTTCCAAGTGGGCCACAAATTAAGTGACACGTGTGTTGCAATAAATGCTTTGACGCTTGACCACCCTACATCATTTGACAATAACAACATTAACCCTTCTTTAATTTATTAAAAATGAAATATCTTTTTAAGAATATTATTAAACATTAACCTTTCGTAATTTCTTAAATTTTGAGACTCATAACCAGAGAAACTGAAAATCAAGGTGGAACCAAGAAGAAAGAACCTTAATTTATGACCATTCAAAAATATAAAGATTTTGTACTTTTCCTCGATTTGTCCCTCCCTAGTCAAATAAAGATTAAATATAATATATAAAATGATGCTCCATCATTTCTCCAAAGACTATAAGTCTATCGGTTGGAAATTATTTTAAAACGAGTAATTTAAGTAAAAGAGATTTAATCACAAGTGATTTTGTGAAAATATTTTTTATATAATTATTTTAATGGTTGTTTATATAATTTTTTCAAGTGATTTTTGTGTAATTAAAAGTGATTTCGAACGTTAATATTTGATTTTTAAAGTGATTTAAAGATTACAAATTAATAATATATATTTGAAATATTATTTAATGCAATTTATTAACTAATTAAAATGAAAAAAAAAACATGATACATATGATTAAATAACCAATCTCCACAAATTTTAGAGAGAGAAATTTTAAAAAATGAATGAAAAAAATTTAGAGAGAGAAATAAATAGATGTGGAATAAAAATTTAGAGAGAACAAACAAAATTAAATATAATAAAAAGGCAAAAATTTTAAATTTTCTCAAAATTTAAGGTGAAAATAAATTGAAATATAAAGATGCATTTGAAATTTAAAACATTAACCATTTTAAAAACTAATTTTCTATCAAAGAATATATATATATATTTCAAAAGCCACTGGGAGAATCACCCCCAACTCCCAAGTGATTGACTAGAAATCTATTAAAGTGATTTTTAATTTTTCAAAATCACTTATGAATCAACGTAAAACGTATTTATTTTAAAATGAAAATGATTTTGCCAATAGTAAAGTGATTCTAGCCATATCAAAATTACTCCCAAATAATAATTTGATTATTCGTTAAAATTTATTTTTCCTTTCTTTGTTTATGTGGCTTTTTTTTCTTTTAATTGGATTCCCTCCTATAAAAAAATAGTTCGAGATATAGTGATTTCAAGTTCATCAACAAATGTTCGAGTCAATCTGAGACTAATTAAACTACTCATTTCCAATGAAAAGATCGTGAATTCGAATCTTCACTCCACGTATTTCAATTAAAAAAAAACAACTGATATTTTATAAGAATAACATTTCCTAAAAGAGGTCTGTCAAATGGTTTCTAAAAACTAGTCTCCATAAAATAGTTTCACACACTAATTCTATAACATTACACAAATCTGACCTACATTTCTTTAATATTTCTAATATATTCTCAACAAGTATATTACACAATAACTTCAAATCAATCTTTTGATAGAAATTAGAAGAGTGCACGCAATTATTCTAAGTTTAGTTTGGGTCATATAGCAAACATTACTAAAAAAATCAACTGTTTTTTCCATAATTTCTGCGGCCCTTATTTATCTCCTTTATATTCTGTTTTCTTTCTCCGACGAATGGGCTGGGCTTAGGGCCCACTATGTGCTAGCCCCTTCAATGGGTTGAGCTCATTGGAAGGTCCAAAATCTCTAGCTCTTCGCACTTGTTCTTGAGATTTGAACTTATTTGTGGACAAAATAAACAAGAACAAATGTATTTATGCAAGCTTTTATTCAAGGTGAATCTATCGGAATTTTTGTTATATGCTCTCTCCCCCTAAAAAGTTTTTAATCCTTCTATTGCTATTATTACTATAGTTACAAAATATTCGTTTTTAGATGGTCCATAAATTAATGGTAGAACATAGCAAATCTAAATAATTTTGTATATCTTTCTTAGAGTCGTTTGATCATGTTAACTTGCATAACTAAATTGAATCGCATGAAAATTAGACCTAATATCAAATAAGTTCTTTTTTTTCGATATCCGTGAATATCCAGGCTAGCTTATACGCACCTCGACTAATCTTATGGCAACCGTCTAAGCCTACAACATTTGGTACTGGGAATCACATACGAGTTACTAATTTCTAAAATAGGTAGCCATCATAGAGTTTGAACTCATTTCCTCTCAATTACCCTAGCCCAAATATCAAATAAGTTCAAAACTTGTAATACGATTTAATCTCAAATTAGCCTAAGATAGTAATAGACTTAACAACAAATTTAAATCAATCTAAATCTAACGCAAATTGGGCCTATGGCCCGAATGAGGCTAAAGTCCAAAATTGAGTTCAACATCATTCAAACTCCAGCCCACTAATATTCAAGGAAAACAATCGGGCCTATAACCCAAACCTAAACAACACTCAAGTCTCAAAATAATAAGAATCAGAAATCTCGACTTTAGTTTCGACACCTCTGTTTTTATTTTGAAGGACTGTTTTTGGATGTGAAAAAAAGAGAGATTAAATCGAATAATGTCAAAATATCAATTTACATCTTGATAAAATGCAGAAGAGCTTAAGCAGAATGGAAAATTCGAGCATCGTGGGATGAAACGCAGCAAATTGGAGCTTTTTATTGGGTGATCAGAGACTGTGATGGACAAAATTACCATTATTGGTTGCAAATTTGTTTCTGAAAAAAGCTGTCAAAAATATTTTAAGCCTTAGCTATTGGCGAGGGTGAAGATCTTCCAGGGCGTTCGCATTTGTGGGAATTTTGTAATCCACTTTACCCTTTTTGTTCTGAGTTCCGTTTGTCAATGAATCCTTTGTCAGAATATGTATCAATTAAGATTGACCAGTGTTTTCATCACAAGTATCAGAACAAATGATGATACACCTCGTTCGTCCATCAAGATGTATCGGAAATTTTTATCTATCAACTTTCGAAATACTTTCCACTTCCATTCATAAGGATCTGGAGAATTTTCTCTGATTTTAATGGAATTGCTTCGTTCGAATTTTACTAGGCAGTCTTAATTCTCAAAACAAAGCATCGAAGCAAGATAACTGAAGTCGACTCATATAATTAATGATTGTAAAACAAATTAAAATTTATACCAGTTAAAAGAAATCAAGATTACAAAGAGAAACTGAGAAAAATCCATAACAGTTTATAGCAACATTCTTTAATCTTCACTGAAGTAAATTTCACAAAGTCTAAACAATTGAGATTAACTAACAGAAAACCTAAAACTAAACAAGGAGAGTAAGAGAATAGAATCCAGATCTGAAGCTAAGATCCGAAATCATTCGAGTAATCGACCTATAACCTAACCTCCAAAACCGTACAAAGTCCTTCCCTGCCTCTTGAGCGCATAAACCACATCCATGGCGGTAACCGTCTTCCTCCTCGCGTGCTCCGTGTAGGTCACAGCATCGCGAATCACATTCTCGAGGAAGATCTTCAGAACGCCTCTAGTTTCTTCATAAATCAAACCGCTGATCCGCTTTACGCCGCCTCTACGAGCCAAACGACGAATCGCAGGCTTCGTGATGCCCTGAATGTTATCCCTCAGAACCTTCCTGTGACGCTTGGCTCCGCCCTTCCCCAAGCCCTTGCCTCCCTTTCCGCGGCCGGACATTTTCACTACTGGATTTGGATGGTACAGAGAATTAGTTGAATCGGGAAGCTGTGAATCTGATGTTGTAAAATAATGGCGAGAGGCTTTTTATAGAAGTCCAAATTCCAACGCCTGGTTTATGAACTTGTTTGCGCGGGGACTTATGTCGTTCGTTGGATGCTCCTTTGATCTGACGGTGGAAATTTTCGATCCGCGTGAAACATCCGCAGATTCTGCTTTTTAAATGTAATTTCATTTTCTACGCGGGCAAACGTGAAATTTTCGGGCAGCGGGAAGGGAAAGCGCCTAATGCAAATGCACCACTCAATAACTCTTTTTTTTTTATACAGCATTGCTAAAAGTGTAATCTATTACCAAATTAAATGATTTGTTTTTAAATAATTGTCCAGAAAATCTTTGATACATATTAAAAAATATATATTGTTCCAATGATTTTTTCTGGTAGATTTTAATGATCATTTAAGTAAATAAGGATAAAAATACGATACTGATATTTTTCTAGTGAATTGTATTGGTATTTTTTAAGCTTATAATTCAAATATTATCACCAAGATTTCAACTGTGAAAATATCCGTAATTATTTCTCTAAAATATCAATATAAATAGATATTTACAATATATCATTTTAAATAAGTTAAATGTCTATATTAGTGAAAAATATTTTATATATTTTATCAATTTTTTTTATATACTATTGAATACTGGATGAAAATATCACATGTCGATATTATTCTCACTAATATGATGCTCATTAAACCATCAAAATATACTTTATGAGCTGTGATTTAGTTAGTGAAGAGGACAAATTAAAATTAAAATTCTTCTTCATTATCTCAAGGATGTGATTCATTCCCCCGTTTATGTTTATAATTTTACTCCGGTTAGTGGCTATCTCCCTTAATTGATAAACTTACAGTTAGTTGTTGATATTAGCACAAGCATAATGTTGGTTAACCTAAGTTGGATCCGTAAAATAAATACTTCCACAGGAAAGCACTTGTCACATGAACCACAACTTTTAGTTGAAGTGCTTTTCTGGGTAAAAAACCACTTTTTGTGATCCGTAACAATATCATCCATTCACCTGAGCGAGTTGGTGGGGAATTTTTTTCTACCATTTTTTGTTCAATTGTATAAAAGAAATCAACAATTTTTTGGTTTCATTTATCGCCACAAAGTGGTTAAACAACCTGGTTATTGATTCAATAATATCTCATTGTTCTTCGCATAGACCAATTCTTTGCTCAATTTTAGAGTGAAATTCTGAAAAGTGGGGGATTTAATAAAACTTAAAACAAGGAATTCTCTTCCAACTTACTAGGCTATAGATAACTAGAGGTTATAATTAGACCTTCAAACCAATGCAACTGGCAGAATAACTTTCCTGTTATAATCCTCTAAAATCAATTGTTTAGGTACTGACCAATACAAATTCTATTGACTTTCACATTTAGAGAAAGTTCCTTCGATCAAAAACCCTAACAGTATATGGACGTTCAGCCGTAGCATAGTCACCCGAATGCAATGCTGGTTTTTACGCTAAATTGGGAAGAATAGTAACCAATATTAGATTTTCAGTTATGAGTTACAGACCTTGAATTCATTCCTATCGAGCAATTTCAAAGCATCATGCCTCAGTTACAAACCAATTTCTATATGCAACGACCAGAAGAACACAGTAACATTGGGAGGAATGAACGATAGAAGAAGCTCCAGAGGACAATTTCTCAACCAAGTAATAGTCCAATTTCTGAATGACTGTGAATAACTTACAGGAAATCCAAAAAATATGATTTAACACTAAAAAGAAACCAGATCTAAAGCCAAGATCTACAATCTTTCATGTTATTGATCTATAGCCTAACCACCGAAACCGTACAAAGTCCTTCCCTGCCTCTTCAAGGCGTAAACCACATCCATGGCGGTGACCGTCTTCCTCCTGGCGTGCTCGGTATAGGTCACAGCATCGCGAATCACATTCTCGAGGAAAATCTTCAACACTCCTCTGGTTTCCTCGTAGATCAAACCACTGATTCGCTTGACGCCGCCTCGACGAGCCAAACGGCGAATTGCAGGCTTCGTAATGCCCTGGATGTTATCCCTCAAGACCTTCCTGTGACGCTTGGCTCCGCCCTTTCCCAAGCCCTTGCCTCCCTTTCCGCGGCCGGACATGTTTGAATCGGAGCTGAATTGGGAAGCGTATGCGATACGATTGATCGTGAAATTTTGAATTTGTTGACGAAATGTGGTGGTTCGGTTGAATTTATAGTAGAGTGAATTCGACGCTCGGCTTTTGAAGCTGTTGACGTGGAGTCTTATTGTTCGTTGGATTTTCGATTAATCGACGGTCAGGAACGTCGATCCGCGTGAAAGCTTCGCGGATTGTGCTTTTCAATGTAATGTGATTTGTGTAGGTGAAATATCTGGAGCTGGCGGCGGGAATTGCCAAATTTTGTGGATCCAAAAAGCCCAATCACAGCAGCTAACGGGCCGGCCCAAGCTTGAATCACTAAAGTAAATTAGTTTTGTGAAATAAAATGACAAGAGTGTAGAAAAAACAAACTATTAAGATAAATTAGTACGAAGGAAAACCACCATTTTCTCAAATCAAAAAAATTCATCATTTAAGGAGTTTTAAAAATCTTGATGTCCTTGATTGCTTATTTTAACTGCAACTATTGTTTGTTTTATTATGTACTGTATTTTGGATGTGAAAATAAAACTAAGTAAATAAAAAATAATCATCCATAAATGATGAAACTAGTACAACATTTGAACACTTACAAGAGCTAATATGAACAAGACCCTCAGGCTGTAGTTCATCTAATTTGATATGTTTTATCACTATTACCCCTTCTTGTGCCATGTCGAGTATGAGACTTAAAAATAGTAAACTTAAAATTTAACTTCGATTTATAAAATAATTATTTATTATATCTTGGCTGTTTGGACTTGTACCGAACATTTGGTAAAAATATTATATAATTACTAGATAGTTTGATTTTGATGAGAAGGGTTAAATTTGTCACCCTTGTTGGAACTATCAATGGAAGGGGATATAAATAAATAGGTTAAAGAACTTCCATTTTTTAATTTCTTTTGGTTTTAGCAACGTGGCCAAGAAAAAGTAGAGTAATACCCAAAATATCTAGCATTTTTTTTCATTTTCCGAAAGATAAAATCATTCATGCTTTAGATTATATTGTGTTTATTTAGTCTCCTAAGCTTTTAAGCCATATTTATATGTCAATACACATTTCATCGATGCTCTAGACGCTCTACCATGACCATTTGCTATTACATTGTTCTTTTACTAGCACTGCATCCATTTGGCATTTGCTGTTCAACACGTTCAACGTTTTCATCCCTCTTCTCGGTATGATATCGATACTTTTTAAGTATTTTCTTCCCATGCAAACAATAGCATAAACATATTTTGGCGCAATGTAGTGGGTGCTATTCTTTGGAATATTTCGCTCAAGAAGAATAATCGCTCTTTTATAGATAGATTTCAGATCTTATACTCATCTTTAGGAAGATATTAAATATCACCCTCTTCTTGGTCTTCTAAATCTTCTCATTCTAATTATGATGTATCTATCATCTCGTTAAATTGTGTTTCTCACATACTTCTTAATGAATATGGATTCTCTTAAAAAAAAAAAAAAGTTGGTGTAATACGACTCACATACTCTTAATAGTGAAAATGGTTTCTCTTTCAAAAAAGAAAAAGTTATTGTGATACAATACACAATTCGACAAACTAATAAGCATATAGTAACAGTACATCAATAATCTATTAACCATACAAACGATGATAACTAAAAGTTGGTAAAATAAATGGATATAATGTTCAAAATATTCAAAGTATACACGACTAAATTTATAATTTAACCGAACAAAATTCGGAAGCAAAACCCTATTGATGGCAGCATCTAGGGTTTAGTGTTAAGAGTAAAGAATAGGAGGGAAAAAGAGAGAGATTATGAGAAAGTTAGGTTTGGGAAATGAGAGAGAGAACACAAGGCAGCGAATTGTAAGGCTCAAAATACGGGTCAAACAAGAAGGGATGGTGCTATATTCCCTTCAAGTCTAAGCATACCATAATTTACTTATCCTCATCACATTATTATATTAATTTTAATCAATACTCTCCTAATATATACTATAAATTATTTCTCCTTTTCCTTCCCTTTCACCACCCACTTTGACATAACACTCCTCAAATTCACAACCAAGTAACACAAATTAAAACCCTATACCCATTTGACAAGAAAGGAAAAAATTAACCTCTTGAAAACTTCAGTAAATAGTTTCTTCATTGAGTTTTAAGCTTTCTCCTTTCTATGTATGTGAAAAATGTAGGTGGTGGGTCAGAAAGGGTTGTCAAGAACTTGCTGTGTCTAAATTTGTCCATTTTTAAGTAAGCGAACTCTAATTAATTAAGTGTTGTTATCTTAAAAATTAAAGCTTGGGGATGTGATTTTGTTTTTAGATTTGGTAAAGGGTGTCCAGTCCCTTTCTTGCATATGCACATCAGTGACAAATGTTGAGTATTTTATGGTGAATGATCTCTCTTCTGGACACTCACCAAGAATCCACAACTTACATATAAAAACATTATTATCAAAATATTGAAGAAAACCACCTTTTTTTTTTTTGTGGGATTTTGATTTTGACAAGAAACTACTACCCATATGCCCAAGTGAAAAGCTTGTTTTGTTCGATAATGTCATTAGTTTTTCAACTTCTCAAATTAATGGGAGTTGCTAGCTATTTCTTTTTACAAGTGTGTGTTTTAGTTTTTCCTGTAATATTTGTTTAAATTTACTACAAAAATGCTCATTTTGAAAATGTTTACTAATCATGAAAATTATTGACTATGGACCAAAATGTTGATGTATCCCTCCCTTTCCCCCCCTTTAAAGCAATAGTTTTTTGAAGTTGTTGAAAGTGGCTTTACATTATGCTTGGCTTAATTTACTAATCATGGGTTGAACTTTGTATTAATTGTGAGATTAGCTTCTAAAAAAAAATTTGTGAGATTAGCTTCCTTCTGTAAATCACATTCGGATTTTTAGTTATATATATAATTTTTAGAAGAATTTCTTAAACCTACCAGAAAAAAACTACTCCGCAACCATAAATCTCTAGGCACTCTTGAAATTTTGACAGGTAGAAGAGAATAATTGAAAAGAGAAGAGAGATGTTTTCAATAGTTGTCAAGTTTTCAGTGGCGTGCAAGTGCACAGTAGGAACAACAAGATTTCATGGTGTTTGGTGTGGGAGAAGGCCACGCCATTAATATTGAAAATTTTGTTTAAAAGTCTCGACTTCTACTTGGTCCTCTAATTAGACATTTTTGTAATTATGACATTTCTACCATTTTGATTAACATAGCTCCGTGTTTTGTAACCATGATTTCTTTTCGATTAAATATATATATATATAATTTAAAAATGCACTTGGTAGAATTTCTCAAGTTGTAAACTTAATTAATTTTGGGCATGTCTTGTGTTAGAGAAAGAAGCAATGGTCACATGGCTCAAAAGTCAAAACGCATTTAAGAAGGCACACGTGAGCCAGCAGTCATAAAAACATATATAAATTAGCCTCTATCTCCCACACTGTCCTCACTCCTTCCCCATTAACATTCATTACATATATATTTATTTTTTATTTTCCAGTATTTGTCTCATGACCCTCCAAATAAATTTCTGAAACCCATGTTCTTTGTTCCTCACAGATCAAAATTGCCCTTCTTTTTCTCTTCTCTTCTCAAGTCCCCAAAAGATGAGAGCTTGATTTCAGTACGTCGCATTCATATCTCCCCCTTTTTGCTGTGTTTTCTTATCACACAAGTCCTCTATTATATATTTATATATTATTCTCGCTGTATAATCTTGCCTTTTAAGTACACCCTCTTTCTACTCCAAACCTCTCTTTTTTTCTCTTCTCTTCTGAAAACTCTCTCTCAAGGAGAGAAGGATTTCTGATTTCGATTCGAGAGGAATATTTATCGATGCGTCGGGATTCGGCAGGGATTTAGGGGAGAAGAAGATGAAGAGAGAAACAGAAGTTTTATGCAGTGGTAATAACTATAGGCATATTTTGAGCAGTAATGGAGGAAGGCTGAATACAATAACGCCATGCGCAGCTTGTAAGCTTCTGAGAAGAAGGTGTGCTCAAGAATGTCCATTTTCTCCATATTTCTCTCCACATGAACCCCACAAATTTGCTTCTGTCCACAAGGTTTTTGGTGCCAGCAATGTCGCTAAGATGCTCATGGTAATTAATTCTAAACCCTAATCTCATAACTTTTCCTTTCATTTTCAGTTCGTATTAGTCATATGGAAAAAAGAGAAAAGAAAAAATTTTACATTTTTCTACTGTGTACTTCAGATCCACTCTCTATTAAATTAATGGAAATTAATAGATCTGACTTTGGTTTTTGCTGTATCAGTTAAGAATATTATTTTACTGTGCTACGGACTATATACACTGATTTCATATCAATTTTTGTTCAGGTAAATTGACAAATTTCAAATCTGAAGTTTGATGATAATAGTTTGTCTTTAATTTTCTGCTTCCAAAAATATTTTTGTTTTTTTTTTAACCACACATCATTCATACTTGTGAGAAACTTTCATAAACTTTTTTTTCACCAAAAACATATTTGAATTCTTTGTTAATGATCTTCTATGGAAATTAGATAATGCAAACCTAACAATTTATAGCGAATTGATTTTGAGATTGAATCCTATAAATTATTAATACTTTTAGCCTAATTTTGAAAATTTTATTGTTTTTTAGTTTTCAAAATTTGGTTTGAATTTTGAAAATATTTTTTAAAAATTAGATTATAAAATAGTTATCAAGTTAAACCAATTTAGAAGTGTGATGAGTCATTTTAACTTTTAATTTTATATCTAATAAATTTTGTCATGAGCCGGTCGATCTAAGTACACTTATATAAAGATGTTTATTTAAGAATGACGTAGGTTAAAAATGAATAAACCACCATTCAATCGATAAGCTTAAGTAAATTTAATTGAATATTATCTCAAATTAATTTCGAACAAATTTAAGTCAAAGTAAACAGTTTATATAATTAAATTTAACCTTTTTAATTTGTTTGTTTTGTTTTGGTGTAGAAAGGGAAGAATATTAATTCTGTTTGTTTGGTGGTGGAAATTTTCAGGAGGTACCAGAGAGTCAAAGAGCCGACGCGGCAAACAGCCTGGTTTATGAAGCCAATCTGAGGCTGAGAGATCCAGTCTACGGCTGCATGGGCGCCATTTCAGCTCTTCAGCACCAACTCCAAACTTTACAAGCTGACCTCAATTCGATAAGATCTGAGATTTTGAAGTACAAGTATAGAGATGCTATTATTCCCTCTTCTTCTTCCTCTCCACACATCGCTTTGATTTCGGGCGCCGCCGGAGTCGTCGTTTCCACCACCGCAACCCCGCCTGCAGCACCCCCGACTCCCCCACATTCTCAGCCGCCTCCACTTTCTCTTCCGCCGCCTCCTCCGTCCTCCTCCGCGATCTATTCCTCGCCAATCAGTAGTGCTGCCCCTGAATTTAACACCATCTCGGCTGAACATATTTCCTACTTTGCTTGAACTTGCAACTCGAACACCTGCTTAATTACCTATAGACAAAGTTTTTGTGGGTTTGGTAGAAATTCAAATCTCTAATCTTTTGAGGAGAGGCGTCTATTAATAAGTAATACTCGGATCAGGTTGGCAGAAAAAACTGATTATTGGAAACTAATATATTGCTTTTTGGTATTTACATGATACACTAATAGCATGTTATTTGTTTGGGATAGATTTTGAATAAAGAAAAGGTGCTTTGAATTTAGTCCTTATTCCACTAACACTTTTTTGGTAGAACACTGATGCAGTGTTTCTCTTATCTAGGGTTTTTTTGGAGGTGATCGTGGAACAAGTAATTTTGAATGAAGAAATTTAAGTATAATTGATTTTTAGTTGATTTTTCAAAATTTATCATCTAAATGATACCTTAAAATAATTTTAAACTTTCCTAAAATCAATTTTTTAATTTGTCAAAACATTATTAATAGTAAGAAAGTGATTTTGACATAGTAAAAATGATTTTGTTCATGCCAAAATGACTCTCAAACACATCTTAGTATTGGATTTTCAAAATTACTTTTGATAATTTAACGATATAAATTATATAAAAACGTATTTTTACTTTCTTGGTGTTGACTGGTCTCTCTTAACTAGCTAGCTACTTATTTGTAGTAATTTTCAATTACTCTTTAACATTATTGTTTTGATTGTAAACTATATAAAACATATGAAGAGAGAGGTGACAGAAAAATAAAACCACCGACGGCGGCCGGCGGCGGTGGCTGAAATGAAAGGAAAGTCTACAGAGTTTGAGAAATTTAGGTTGACTAGATACATAGTCAGCCGCACATGGATGATGGTTTATAATTAATTAATTAAGTCGGTGTTTTCTTTAATATTAACTTAATTTGGTGATTTAAGTCTGTCGGAAAGACAAGATTTAACTTGTAAATGGGTTAATTGAACAATATATATATATTTTTTTTTGGCTTCACACGCCCCCAAATATTTGCATATCTTAACTTGTATCCCATTTTCCTCTTCTTTTTTTTCCTGAGAATGTAATTAATTAATAATTTACTTTTTATATCAGGCATGCATGTATTGACATTTTCTATATTTTCTTTCTAATATAGAACTGTAAACAATTAATTGGTTGAATTTTTCTTTTCTTGCAACACAAGGCCTTAACTTTTTTATATTTGATTGCTAAGGTAAATCTTAGATAGTATCACTATAGTTTGAATTCATTCTTTAAAATTTGTCTATGCTCTTTTAGTCTTTTGAATCAATAGATTAATCCATTGTACAGTTCATTTCATCCCACGAAAATGAACCAATATTAACGAGCCGTTGCAATAATTCTATAACTATGACCATGTTTCAAGTGCAATTTAATCACAATGAGTGAAGTGGGAGACTTATTCATTGGATTCTCTAATTAATGGGGAATTTGGTATAGTGTCATGGATTGCTTAAAGCATTTGCATCTCTTAGATTGTATATACCTTTCTGTCTTTTTGTTTTCTTTTTATTTTTTCCCTCTCTTTTTTCGGAGATAAGACAATAGTTTGAAAGTGCTCAGTTTTTTCTAAAAAAAAGAAAAAAAAAAGCTTCGTTTATTTCCACTTCTAAAATTATTAGACGACTTCATGTGAAAGAATGAGTCATTAAGGGTTTGTTTGGTAACATTTCCGTTTCTTGTTTATGTTTCTTTATTTTTAATAAAGAAAAATGTATTGCATGGTTCCAACCTCTAATAATCCAACTATAATAAAATAATCTTTTTATTTATGTTTTGGAACAAATTGGAAATGAGAAGAAGAAAGAAGAAACTTGTTTTGGTTGTTCCTAAAATAGCTATACAATCGTGAGATGTTCCCAAAAGAGGTGAAACAAGAAACAAAATTAGTTGGAAAATGCTTGATTTCTTAATAAAATTGGAAACAAAAAACAAGAAACAGAAAGTTACTAAACGAGTCCTAATTTTCTTCAAGTACACTATCTATAACCCAATTACTATTTTAAGGATATATATACATATAACTTTTACTGTTTTTTCTTTTTCTTTTTTTAATGTATCTTAGAGAAAAATTGACGCAAATGGTAGAAAATGTGAGACGGAGAATAGATAGATAACTACAATATATTATTGTATAGGAAGATCCAACAATGCTTTACAACAACCATATATTTAATTTCAATTTCATTTTTAAGCGACGAGACAATTTTAAATAGAAGTTTGGCCTGTTTGTGTATTTGGAAGATAATTAGAAAAGACGGTGAGAGAGTAAACCATTACCAAAAAAAAAAAAGGTTATAACTGTAATTTTATATATAGTTAAAAAAGCCACAAAAACTAATTGAAGAATAAGTTAGTTTATTTGGATGGAAGTTTGGGAAATATTTTTGTCATTTATAACTCAAAACTATTGAAAATCAATACATATACAGAAAGACAGCTCCATTCAACAATAAAAATGTGTCACTAATAAACATAAAAAAGGGAAAAATACTTGCCTACACACAAATAGAAACTACTGTTAACCTATTGAAATTTTTGAACTATTAAAAATTAAAAAAAAATTAGAATGGACCACAACTTGTTATCTCATAAAATGTGTTAAAAAAAAAACAAATAAAATCAAACTTATTGACCAAGTCTTCTTCCTAATATCCATTTATTGATGTGCCTGAATCATGTCAACAATTTCCCTCTATATTTATTTTTCAAAATTCAAATGGATAGACTATATGAATTGGGTCAAATTCAAGTTAATTATGATGAGACAAAATAGTGTGTTCTTTTTAATACAATATATGGGAATGGGGCATCCAACAACCGGTAGAAAAAGTACTAGAAAAGAACCCGACTAATAATATTAGAGTTGTTTGATCATAAACTCTGCTTCCAGAGACGCACTAAACCCAAATAAAAAACCCTTCGTTCAAAAGCCAAAAAAAAAAAACTTGCACAAACTAATTATTCTTCCATAACACACAAACTAAAAACGAGAACAAGACAAGAACAACAACAAAGGATTATAGGTGTTCCT